CCGCTAGCGGTTTGGACTCTAACTGCTATCCGTTAATCTCAAACCGCTAAATAAAAATTTTACCAAACACTTTATTTATAACGGTTTTGAAATATATAAATTTACCAAACACCTATATTTAGCGGTTTAGGTAAAACCGCTAACCACTACCCCAAAACCGCTATACCAAATGGGGCCTTGATCTAAGAATAAAACAAAAACCAATGGTGCTTTTATATCATCCTTAGATCTTGCCCAATCACCATCACAAAAACCAAGTAGCTTAATTTTAGCCCCTTTATAAAAGTGTCTAAACTGATAGAAGGTTAACAAAAAGGTACCTAACCAAAGGCCAAATTACATCAAGATTCAGAAACTAAACTTGTGATGGCATAATGACTTCAAAAAGGTTAAACCCCATTTTTGGTCTCTCAACTATTGTACGAATCCCCAATTGAATCTTTTAACTCAAAAAATCCCTGACTTGGTTCTTACTGTTTACCATTTTTACTCCAAGTTGGTCTTTTCGTTAAAAATCTCTCCACATGTACTGTTAATTCACAATAAGATGATAACACATCAAAATATTAACCCACATGGAAGACAACATGGCAAAAAATAATGACATGGCAAAAATAATAATAATATGATAAAAAGCAAAATAATAATGATGTGATAAAAAAAAAATTTTGTCTTTTTCCTTTTTCCTTTTTCCTTCTCTTTCCTTTTCTTTTTGGGATCCTGGGTTCGACGAATCCAAGCTTGGGTTCCTTGGAATCTAGCAACCCAAGCGTTGGGTTTGAAGCTGGGTTTGAAGCTGGGTTTGAAGGAACCCAACGCCTGGTTCGACGAACCAAGGTTCTGGGTTCCTTGGAACTTGGCGTTGTGTTCAGAGGAACCTAGGCCTGGGTTCGATCGAACCTAGATCGCCTAGGTTCCTTGGAACCCGACGTCGGGTTCATCAAACCCAGGTGTTGGGTTCGACGAACCTTGCTAGGTTCAAAGGAACCCATGGCCTTGGTTCGATGATCCCAGGCTTTGGGTTCCTTGGAACCCGGTGCTAAGTTCGATCAAACCCAGGCATTAGGTTCTTCGGCAAAAAAAATAAATAAATAATTTTTGTGTTTTTGTGGGTGTTGTTTGATGGTGATGATGATGAAGAATTGATTGATGAAGAAGGAAAGGAAGAGGAAGGAGAAAAAATTTAAAGGAACCCGTTGCTAGGTTCGATCAAACCTAGGCGTTGGGTTCTTCGACAAAAAAATAAATAAATAATTTTTGTTTTTGTGAATGTTGTTTGATGATGACGATGAAGAATTGATTGATGAAGGAGAAAGGGAACGAGAAAGGAGAAAGAATTTTTAAAATTTTTATTGCCATGTCAAGAATTTTTAAAATTTTTATTGCCATGTCACTATTTTTTTTTTTTTTTTTGCCATGTTGTCTTCCACGTGGGTTAATATTTTGACGTGTCATCATCTTACAGTGAATTAACAATACACGTGGAGAGATTTTTAACGGAAGAACCAACTTGGGGTAAAAATGGTAAACAATAGGGACCAAGTGAGGGATTTTTTGAGTTAAGGGACTCAATTAGGGGTCCATACAATAGTTGAGGGACCAAAAAGAGAGACCAAAAAGAGAGTTTAACCCTTCAAAAACTACAAAAAATCTGAACTTCATTTAAAAGTTCTCTTAACAGATGGCACATGACAATAACATATTGAATAAAAAACATTTAAATGATTGATAGAAGGTTTAAGGCCATACAAAACTTTAATTGGAGTCATTCCTTCCACTGCTTTTGTAAGGAATCCATTCAACAAATATACTATTATATACA